CATGATGACCTACTGAGAAAGTGACATTTGAACTCATGAGAAATGTGCACCGGAGGACTCTGGCTTCAGGTTCAGACCCTGCCCTGGGCTCTTGGACAAGTCTCTTCTTAGATTTTTTTTTTTTTTTTAATGTTTATTGTGATTTGGGTGAATGTTTACAGAGCGAATTTCTTTTCCATGCAGCAGTTCATACACATTTTGTTTCAAGAGGTTGACTGCAGTCCCTGCAATGTAGCAGCTCTCTTCCCACTTCCTCCCTGTGTCCTTGTTTCCTGACCCCTGAGCTATCTGCCTGTGTAAATGCTGCCCTTCTGATCTCCCATGAGTGGTCTTTAAGGAGTGCATCTACCTGGTACAGATATTTACCCTATATGCCTGTCTGTTGTTTGGCTGGAAGCCACAGGAGTGAGTTCAATTCCAGACCTGAAGAGTAACTAGGGGTCGTAGCCTCGGGGGTGGGTTTGCTCTACTCTGTCCATGTGACAGCCGGAAGAGCTGAGGTGACAAGGAGTGTGGGGGGGGGACCCATGGGGACTCCTGGGCTCCCTCCTCACCCCCATCCTGGCATGCCAGTCCCCAGGCTCTCTCTTCAGGGCTGGCACTGGGCTGTTTATCTTGGTCAGTAGTGACGTTAATAAATTACTCTGTGTTCTGTCCTGGAGCAAAGGTCTTGGTTGACAAATAGTGGGACCCGCTCTCCTCCGTACTACCACCGCCTCCAGGGGAAGCAGCCCCTCTACATTTGAACCAAAGGTCAGGTCCCCACTGGCAGTGGCTTTGTAGACTATGCTTGATTTCTCACTGTGTCTGCCCGACATCACCCAAGTCAGTGTCTGCTCTGAGGTGGGGACTGGCTTGAGAGGAAAGTGTTGGTTGTTGCTTCAGCTCTACTTTTCATTTGCTGTGTGACCCAGGACAAGTTCCTTAAACTCCCTGAGAAGCCTCAGTTTTCTTGTCTTGAAAATGAGTGTGTAGCATAACATACTGCACAAAAACATTGTTCCACATCCTACTTTGGTGAACAGTGACTGAGGTCTTAAAAGTTTGCAAGCGGCTGTCTAGATGCAACTATGGGTCTCTCCTTGTCCAGAGCAAAGAAGAATGAATGATGCATGGAAACAATTAGTCCAACGGACTAGTGGACTGTATGATCCTCAGCCTATATGGCCATGAGACCAGAAGAACTAGATGCTACCACTGTCAGCAACTTAGAGGGGGATGGGTACAGGAGATCCTGGATAGAGTGGAAGAACAATGTGGAACAAAACTCAAAATCACACACACACACACACACACACAAAGACCAGTTTTACTGGTCTGATAGAGCCTGGTGAAACCTCTGACACTATGGCCCCTAGTTACCCTTCAGGTCTGGAACTGAACTCACTCCTGTGCTTCTAGCCAAAAAACAAACAGGCATATGGGGTGAACATTTATATCAGGTAGATATACTCTTTGGAGCAACCCATTGTGGGAAAACAGAAGAGCAGTGTTTACACAGGACAGTAGCTGGGGTGGGGGCGGGCAGGAGTGCATGGGAGGGAAGGACACAGGGAAGAGGTGACTACAGGGAGGAAATGGGAAGAGAGCTGTTACATTGTGGGGAATTGCAGTCAATGTCATGAAACATGAGCTGCTGTATGGAAAATGAATTTGCTCTGTAAACTTTCACCCAAATCACAATAAAAACTAAAAAAAAAAAGAAAACGGCGAAGTAATAGTACCAACACCACAAGATCATTGCATGGAGTCGGAGAGATCATACTATTAAAAAGTTGATCCCAGTTCCCCGATGGAGAGGAGGTCACCAGGGACTGTTATTTATAGGATCTCTTATTCTGGTCCAGAAATTTCACAGACCACATGGTCCATCTGATGGACATTGTCCCTTTGCTTTTTATTAATGAAGCAAATACATACCCAGCAGCAGGAAGAGCTTATGAATTCCAAAATTTGGCATAAAACAAAATTTTTTGAGCTTTACAAAAAATTGTAATGCATAAAATAAAGTTGAACAGTCTCCCTTGCCTTCTCCCAGGTGAACAGTGGTAACTCTTGGGGATGAATCCTTTCTCACCTTCGTCCAGGAGCATGCAAATGTATCATCACTTTATAATGATATTGGAAATTCCATCAGTCCCAACAGGAGCTGCATATTTGGGAAACAGTAATACTTTTATTTGTCAAACATTTATTGAAGCCACAGGAAAGGCTTGAAAAGGAAGGGGTCTTGTTGCCCTCTAGAGCCCCCACTGCCAGCTCCCAGGCTGGGACCTGCCCTCCAGGGGGCACTTGCTCTTCAGGCCTGGCTGCAAGCTGCACCAAGACCTTGAGCAATGGATTTGCAGCCTCTGGCAGCAACCAAATGAGCCTCACCCCTGCTGGGACCTTGAGGTCCCTCTGCTCTCAAATGTAGTCCTCATGGGCAAAGCACATGCTTCTTATCCATTCATCTGTCCATCCGTCCATCCATCCATCCATCCATCCACCCACCCAGCCAGCCAACCAGCCAGCCAGCCAGCCATCTATCCATCTGTCCATCCATTCTCACAGCTCCCAAGGCAGCCGTGTAGGGCAGATATTTGTCAATTAAATGTCCAAATGAATGAATCTTGCCTTGCAATGCCTTTCACTTCTATCTGCCTAGAAAATGCAAAATCAGCCTTGGAGACTAGCCCATTCACCTCCTCCTCCTTGATGTCTGCCTGGACCACCAGAGGCAGAGTTAGGGCCTTGGTCAACTTGGGCATTCCCAGATACCCCCAGTTGAGTTCACAATGTGAAGTCCAAGGCCTTTTTCTTTCAGTGGCCTAGGACCCCTCAAGGACTCAGCTTACTTTTCTTTGGTTTCCCATTTGTGATGGCTAGGAGGGGCACAGGCCAACTGCAGTGTAAGCTCCAGGAAGGGAGGTAAGTGCAGCTCTCTCGTTGGAAGGAACAGAGTTTGCAAAGAAAGCCCAGAGTAAAAGGCCCTGCTGTATTCTGGGAGGAGCATGCTTGCAGGATGGGTGATGGGTGCAGGAGAGGAAACTGACAAGACTGATTTGGCTCTCAAGGGTTCTGGGCATCAGGCAACGTGGGTTTGGGGTTGATCCTGTTAGCAGGAGGCTGTAGTTGTGTGGACCAAGTAGACGACACCCCAGGAGAAGGTGAAGTGGAAGCAAAGAGGCCAGAGGAAGGGGTGGGAGGTGCGGCTCCCTCTCCTGGCTTCCTGAGGCCCTGCCAAGCGTTGAAGGCTGGCTGGGCAGCTGGGATCTCTAGAAGGGATCAGGTCTGCCCAGCCGGCTCCAATGACATTTCACAAACTGGAGCTGCCATGGGACTCTATGGCCTCAGTCCTAGATAATATGGGTCACCGGCTAGGGAGCAGGGCAGCTGAACAGATGAAGAGTCAGGGCTTCCCTCTGTCCCTGGAAGCCCCTCCACCTGAACTCTTCTGCCCTACAGCTTCTATTCCAAGGACAATGAAGGCAGTTGGTTCCGCTCCCTCTTTGTCCACAAGGTGGATCCCCGGAAGGACGCCCACTCGACCCTGCTGTCCAAGAAGGAGACCAGCAACCTGTATAAGATCCAGTGTGAGTGGCTGCTGGGCTGCCAGCTCTGCCCTCCCAGGGCCTCTGGAGGCCTGCAAGCCTCCTGCAGGGAGATTGGAGAATCTAAGACAACCCCTGGCCCTGCTGGGCTCCCCCGTCCCCATTCTGCAGACAGGCACAGCCCCTGCTTCACCCGCTGCTCTCTGTCCTCTGTTGCAGTTCACAATGTGAAGCCTGAGTGCCTGGATGCCTACAACAGCCTGACGTGAGCATCCTCCTCCACCCACCCTTCCCAGCCCCTCCGCTCCCACAGCCCTTCCACGCTCCCTCTGCTCCATGTTCTTGCAGAAACCAGGGGATGTAGGCTTCAGAGCTGGAAGGCCTCAGGATGCCTCACTCATCCTCTGGGTTTTAGAGATGGGGACACAGAGGCCCAGCCCTTTATCCCAGCCTGCTAGCTCGTGTGAACCCTGCCCCCTCTCTGTGCCCCACCCCAGGGAGGCTGTGCTGCCCAAGCTGCACCTGGATGAGGACTACCCATGCTCGCTCGTGGGCAACTGGAACACGTGGTATGGGGAGCAGGACCAGGCAGGTGAGGGGCCACCTTCCCCAGGGCCACTGCTGCCACCCAGCCCAGGCCTCCGGCTGCCCGCCATTCTCTGTCCACAGCAGCACCCAAGATCTCTTTCTAAATGCAACTTCGTCACCTCTCTTCCCTGCCCACATGCCCAGCATGGCTCCCCACTGCCCTTGGTGTGGTCCAGGAGGCTCTGGGAGTCCTTCCCTGCCCAGCCTCAGCTCCGTGTTCCTTCCTTGCTCACCGGGCTGTGCCCCCAGCTAGAACTTTCTTTCCGTTTCTCAGATCAGCAGTTTCACTCTCTGGTTCTAGACCATTGTTCACGCAGTTCCCTCTGCCTAAACATTTTTTCTCTCTTGTATGTTTTACCTCCTCCTCCCCTCACCTTCCATTCAGTATAGATGCCCCTTCCTCCTCAAAGCCTCCCCTGATACCCTTCATCCAGGCAGCTCCCCAGCCCTCAGCAATTGCGTCTTCACAGCCCTGATCCTGCACCCCTGTTGGTGCCTGTGTACTTGTCGGTCCCCCCCTAGAGGTGGTGAGTCCTGGGAGGGCAGGGCCCATGGATATCTGTCTTTACCACTGAGACCCCAGTTCCCTACACATGTTTGTGGAGTAAACAGGGGCTCTTGTTAGAGCTGGTTCCTTACAGCTTCCCAGGGCACTCCTGGCATGCCCCAGGGCTCCCCAACTTCCCACCTCAGCACCAGGTGCTAGGAACCACCTGTGAAGTTGGTTGCCTCAGCACCTCAGCCACTCAGAGGGGCCTTGACATTTAGACATGTGCTGTCAGAGACGGCTGCTACCAAACCACCTGTGCCTACTTAATTAAAATGAAAAACTCAGGTACATTTCAAGTGCCTACCAATAGACACTGTGGCTACCATCTTGGACAGTGCTAAGGAGCTCTGGTGGATAGTGGTTAAAAGTATTCAGCTGCTAACCAGAAGGGTGGCGATTCAAATGCATTTGTTGCTCTTTGAGAGAAAGATAAAGACAGTCTGCTTCCGTAAAGATTGACAGCCTTAGGATAGTTCTATTCTGTCCTAAAGGGTTAGTAGGAGTCGGAATCAACTTGATGACAGTGGGTTTGGGTTTGGATTTTTTTTAAGCATAGCACAGTGAACTCACTCTGACAGAGAGGCCCATAAGCTTCCCTTGCACACAGCCAGCAACAGGGAGCTCACTACCTTGTAAGCCAATCTATCTCATCCTTTGATAGCCCTAATACTTGTGTGTGGCTTTAAAAAGGAAAAAGAACGTGACCTGCAGATTGTTTTTAATTGGCATTGTCAGCTGCCATCGAGAACAGAACACTGCCTACGCCTGTCCCACCATCCTTATAATTGCTGGCATGCTTGAGGCCGCTGTGCCCTTCCAGCCTGGGGGGCTCTTCTTCTAGCAAACACAGACATATCCTGCAATAGCAGCAATATCATTCATGCTGTTTATAACCTGTATGCTGTGTCCAGTCACTCCGGAACCACCACGGCTGGCCGTTACACAGCCTACTGCCAGAGTCCAGTGATAGGCAAATGGCACACTTTTCATGACTCCAGCGTCCCACCTGTGTCCTCCAGCCAAGTGTGCACCAGTGACACCTATTTGCTCTTCTAAGAACTGCCCAGTCCACCCTCCCATATGTAGCAGCAGGGAGCTACACCCCTTTCTCCCTTCCCGTGGTGGTCCCACACCCTAAGTTTCTTTAAAAAGAAAAAAAAAAAAACCAAAAACCTGACAAATAAGAGAAAAATAAACTAAAATAAAAGTGCCGAGCAGGAGTTAACGCAGCCTGGTCAGGGTTGGAGCATGGAGCCGAGTGCTCCTGAGCCGTGGCCTGACAGGAGGGTGCAGAGATTGGAGTCAGCACAGTGCCCTGCAGCTTCTCTGGTTGTCATTTGTTAAGCTTGTGGTTTTCTCCTGTGTGTAATAAACAACGGTCTGTGGGGAGCAAAAAAAAAAACAAAAAATCAATAGGATTTCCTTGGTTAATTTTTGGAAGTAGATCATCAGGCTTTTCTTCCTGGTCTTAGTCTGGAAGCTCCACTATGACCTGTCCACCATGGACGTCCTCGTCGGTATTTGAAATACCAGTGGCAGAGCTTCTAGCATCATGGCAACATGCAAGCCACCACAGTGCACCAGACTGATCAATGGGTGGTGGGACCTGCAGACAGACAGATGCCCTTGACAGACTTTGACACAGCAACATGAGGGTTAAGGAAAACTCATTCTGTCTTCAGTTTTCCATTTCAGACGTGACCTAATGTGCTCCAATGATGCTACTTGGTTGGATTCTCTTAAGCATTTGCTGCTTAAGACATGAACTTGGAGGGATGAGCTCCTGCATCTTGAAAACATATCCTACATTTTGTATGTCTCATAAAGTGTGGACCCCAGAGCATATGTATTAGAATCAGCTGGAGCAGTCCCTGGGACCTGTACCCCAGGGGCAAACCAAACTCAGTGCCATTGAGTCGATGCTGATTCATAGAGGACCCCCATTGGGGTTCTGAGGCTGTATAGCTTTGTGGAAGTAGATCACCCCATGTTCCTTCTGTGGAGCAACAGGTAGGTTTGAACCACTGACCTTCTGGTTAGCGGCCAAATGCCTTATTCACTATGCATTGTAGTGACTTTGTGAGAACCACTGACCCATCTTCTGTAGAGACCACCATAATCCTTGGAGGGAGCCCTGGTGGCACAATGGTTAAGCAGCACTCAGCTGCTGATTGAGAGGTCTGTGGTCCAGACCCACCAGTGGCTGAGCAGGAGAAAGGCCTGGTGATCTGCTTCTGTAATGATTTCAGCCTAGGAAACCGGAAGGGGCAGTTCTCCATCCGACAGGTTGCCATGAGTCAGAATCGACTCAACGGCCCATGATGACAAAGAATCATTAGAAAGTTCTCTCTCCTCTTGAATTTCTGCTGCCGTCCCTGTAACTATAACAGCTGTTCTCGCTGAATGAAGTGAATCTCTCTTGTGCAGGTCAGCATTGCTGGCTTTGGTAGCTTTCAGACTTTGGCTATTTATCTTTGAAAGAGGCCTTTACATTATAGGATCAGGCCATTTTGTAGATGGGAAAATCAAGGCACAGATGGAATCATTTTGGGGCAGGGCGGAGACCGGAAGTAAAAGACTGTGCTTTCTTTGAAAATTGTCGGTCAGCTGGTACCCATAGCTCCAGCCTGCCCAGCTGACCCTTTGGAGACCTTCCTTCTCTGACAGGGTCAGCCAGGATCCCAGGATGGCAAAACTATCTACCTTCCTCTGCACAATGAACTAGGTTTCTTTACTGGGGACAGTGGTGGTTCAGTGGTAGAGTTTGTGCCTTGCATGCAGAAGACCTGGGTTCAATTCCAGCCAATGCACCTTGTGCACAGCCACTTCCCGTCCTGCTCAGTGGAGGCTTGTAGTTACTATGATGCTGAACAGGTTTTAGCGGAGCTTCCAGACTAAGACCAATGAAAACCTATAAATCACACAGTGATCAATAACTGATAATGTGTGTGTGTGTTGGGGGGATGCAGGACCAGGCAGTGTTTTGTTCTGTTGTGCATGGGGTCATCACGAGTCAGGGACTGACTCGACCCCAGCTAACCACAACTTTATTAGACGAATATGATAAAAAATTCAAATGATGCAGAGTTTTCAGTGAAAAGTAAGCCTTCCTCCCACCCACCGCCCCAGATCTCAGTTCTCTGTTCAGAAGCATCTGCTGTCATGATCGTGAAACCTAGACGGCATCTCTGGATACATCCTCACCCACCTCTAAACATGGGGCAGCCTCCTGTGCATGCTGTGCTGTTCATTTTTAATTTTTTGTGATTTAGGTGAAAGTTTACAGAGCAAATTCATTTCCACATGGTAGTTCGTACACATTTTGTTTCATGACATTGACTGCAATTCCCCACAGTGTATCAGCTCTCTTCCCACTTCCTCCCTGTAATTACCTCTTCCCTGTGTCCTTCCCTCCCATGCACTCCTGCCCCCAAGCTGCCTCTCTGTGCAAACGCTGCCCTTCTGTTCTCCCACTTTCCAAGGAGTATCTACCTGATGTAAATGTTCACCCTGTATGCCTGTCTTTTGTTTGGCTGGAAGCCATGGGAGTGAGTTCAGTTCCAGACCTAAAGGGTAACTAGGGGCGATGGTCTTGGGGGTCTCACCAGGCTCTATCAGACCAGCAAACCTGGTCTTTTTATAACTTGGAGTCTTGTTCCATATTGTTCTCCCGCTCTGTCCAGGATCTACTTGTTTCAAGTCATTGTCTTGGGGGAGTGTTCCGTATCGGCTAATCAGACCTGCCCCCCTCCTTTTATCCAGCCTCACCCTGCTGCTGCTCCTGGAGAGAACACATCTAGCCCCCTTGCTTGCTATTGAAGGAGGGTTGGGGAGTACTACCTCATTTTCAAGATGAGGACATAGAGGGGTCAAAGTCAGAACCAAGGTCTCCTGGACTTGTGTTGGAATCATCCCCTATCCAGCACTGTCTTTTGCCAAGACAGGGAACTCAGAGAGCCGTGGTGCTAGAGGGAACCAGACTGGGGGCTCCCCTTTCTTATATACACACTCAGCCAGCCTTGGAGTAAGCAGGGTAGGTCTCACCCAGCGGCCTTTTGACCTGCACCTCCCACCCCTCTGACAGTGCATCTATGGCGATTCTCTGGTGGCTACCCAGCTCTGATGGACTGTATGAACAAGCTCAAAATCAACAAGGTATGTTGGCTTCCAGCCAGGTCATCCTCCACTCTTTAGATACTGGTTCTGGCCCGGCCTGTGTTGGGGGCTGCCTCCATCCCCCCATGGGGCACACGATGAGGCACTTTCTGACTGGCCTGCCCATACTGCCATGCCCACAGGAGTACCTGGAGTTCCGGAAGGAGCGGAGCCAGATGCTGCAGTCCAGGAGAAACCAGCTGCTCCTTGAGTTCAGTTTCTGGAATGAGCCACTGCCCCGAGCAGGCCCCAACATCTATGAGCTGAGGACATACAAGCTTAAGGTGCCTTCCTCCTGACAGAGCCCTGCCTGCCTCCCACCTTCCCTGCTGCAGTGGTGCTTTGCAAGCGCCCTGAGGTGGGCCCTGGGCCCTAGCACCTGCTCTGAGCCTGGCCTCCCCCTCCCTATGGGCCCAGAATCGAGGTGTGGTCGCACCTGTGCACACATGCGTGCCCAGGTACAAGTTTGCCTGAATGAAGCTGAGCAGCCCCTGGAAGCTGTGACAATGGGGCGGACCCAAGGTGGGGCTCTTTCCCACCCTTCCTCTACCTCTCTTTCAGCCAGGAACCATGATCGAGTGGGGGAACAACTGGTGAGTGGTGGTATTAATGCTGGGGTGGGGGGAGCTCTGCTCATCCTGCGTTGGCCAAGGGCCCCAGTGGGCAACTTTTCCAGGGCTATAGCACTGGAAACTCACATCCTCTGCCCCTCCTGGACCTGGGAGAAGGCTGTCCAAGCAGGATTGTGAAGCCTCCCCTGGGAGAGCAAGCAGCCAGTTCCTGCCCCTCCATCACCTCATGCCCTGAATCATCTCTGCCAGCCGGGGGCCCTGTCTCTCCATGAGCTGTAGCCAAGGCATCAGCCTGGGTACATATCAGGGAGCCCTCTGTACCAGCCAGCTTCCCAGGCCTCCTCCAGAGTCCTGGCCTCTGCCCAGCACTCTTCTGCCATCTCCAGGGCCCGAGCCATCAAGTACCGGCAGGAGAACCAGGAGGCGGTGGGCGGCTTCTTCTCACAAATAGGAGAGCTCTACGTTGTGCACCATCTCTGGGGTAGGCTGGGGACCCTCCGGGAGCCCTTGCTAATCCCCGTTCTGCCGTCAACACGATGGATGAGGGATATACTGTTGCCCTCATAGAGGTGACATTCTAGCAGAGGAGAGACCCCCTAACTAACAAGATCATTTCAGATGAGTACAAATGCCTTGCAGAAAAGAAATAGGAAGATACAATAGAAGAAAACATAGAAGACCTACCTTGACTTGGGTAGACAAAGGTGGCCTCTGAGGGAGTGAAATGTAAGAACAGAGCTAAAGGATGAAAAGGAGCCAGTGGTGAATTGCTGGGGGAAGGGCATTCCAAGGGGTAGGAACAGCATGTGCAGAGGCCCTGCTGTGGGGAAAGGCTTTCAGGGCTTTGAGGAACAGAGAGGAAGTAGATGTGCAGAGAGCAGGGAAGAGTGGACAGAGATGGGGGAGGAGACAGGGACGGGGGCAGAGTAGGCTGGGCCTCACAGACCATGAAGAGGAGTTGGGATTTTTTTTTTCTAAAGGTAACAGGAGGCTCCTACAGCATCTTAAGCAATAGCAACACAGTCTGATGGATGTTCTACTGTAATTGCCCTGGCTGCTGTGTGGAGAGTGGCTTGTAGGGGAGCAAGAGAGGAAGTGGGCCGTCAGGAGTTGGTAAGACTAGTCCAGGCCAGAGAAGATGGCAGCCTGGTCTAAGGTGGTGGCAGTGAATGTGCGGGGAGGCTACAGATTGCTTAGTCTGGAGGTAGAACCAACATGACTTGTGGAGGACTTGGCTGTGTGGGGCAAGGGAGGGAGAAGAAGATTCTAGAAGAACTCCCAAGCTCCTGCTTGAGCTGCTGTATAAATACTGCTGTCACTTATTGAGACAGGGAGGTCTAGGGGAGGAACAGAGTGGATGGTTTAGGAGTGTAACTGGCCCTTGGAAGTGTTCTGTTTGAGACGCTGGTACATCTGAATGAAGACAGCAAGTGGGCACTGGATATATGAGTCTGGAGCCTGCAGGAAAGGTCAGGGCTAGAAATACAAATTTGGGAGTTGTCAGCATATGTACTAGCTGGATGAGATTGTCAAAGGAGACAGGGTTTGCTAATAGCCTAAGGCATCTGGCTAGGAGTAGATGGCAGGGCAGGGTTTGGAGCAGTGGGGAGAGGGTCCATTGCCGGGTATGGGATGAGAACCTCTGTCCTGGGGAATAAGCATACGCCTGTCTTCCCCAAAACATCCACTGCCATTGAGTCGATTCCAACTCATAGCAATCCCCAGTGGCTTCCCAAGGCTGTAGATCTTTACAGAAGTAGAGATTCCTTCCACAGAGTGGCTGGTGGGTTTGAACCACCAACTTTTTGATTAGCAGTCACATGCCTTAGGCACTGTGCCACCAGAGCTCCTTATACCTTTCTTACAGCCTATAAAGACCTGCAGTCTCGGGAGGAGACTCGAAATGCTGCCTGGAGGAAGAGGGGCTGGGATGAGAATGTCTACTACACAGGTGAGTGCTGCCTCTGGGAGTTAGTGGGGCCCTTGGTCCTCTGCCAGGAGCCCTCTCTGGGGACGGAATCCCTTCTGCATGGGGATCTAGCCTCAGTTGGTTACTTCCAGTGATGGGGACCATGGAGTTAGTGAGTTTCTATCCTGGTGGCACAATCGGTACGATCCAGGCAGTTCTGGCTGAGTGCTCTGGGGGATGATAAGGCAGCCAAGTGGAGATGTGGAGTAGCTGAGTGCTCACTGTGACCTTGGACATGGCGCTTCACCTCCGCTGAGGCTGTTTGCTTCCCTATAAGATGGTGATGAGATAATTGAGGCAAAATTGCTAGATAGGTAAGAGACAAATAATTGGTTGGGGTGAAGGGAAAGGCAATATACCAAAAGCAAGTGACCAACACAATAACACTAAGGAAAAGGAAGACACAGAGAGGTGCATAGGAGGTACAGCCAACAATGATTAACCCTTTTACATATACAATACTGCATTATCAGTGATAACAAACATTAATCTATGGGTAAATAGGTGGGTAGACAGGCTGAATGATCAGTTATGTCTGCACAAAAGGGAATAAGGGGGGGGAGGAGATGGCGATGAGATAGTACCTCCCTCCAAGCTGTAGGGAGGATTCCTGGAAGTAATCTATGAAAAGTGCTTCGACCAGGGTCTGGTCCAGAGGAAACACGCCACAAGTATCACCTGTTGTTTTTGCTCAATGAGTTTGTCACTTTGTTGGTAACCCCTGAGAACCACCTGGATTCAGTAAGTGTTGATTTGAGTCCTCAAGATAGGCCAAGGACTGTGATGGATAGGTGGGTGGAGAACAAGAGCCTGTCCCAGCCCTTGAGCAGCTTACAGTTAAGCTTACAGATGTCAGCTGGTGTGAGGAAAGACTGTGTTTGCTGAAGGAGCCAAGAGGTGCCTGGCTACTCATCGTGTGGTCCCAATGGATATGATTGGCATCCGCTGGGAGCTTGTTAAAAGTGCAGAATCTCAGGCCCTCCCAGACCCACTGACTCATAATCTGCACTTAACAAGAGCCTTGTGACCTTGGACATGGCTGTGATTTGTATGCACATTCAAGTTTGAGAAGCTCTGAACAGGAGGGAGAGTATGACTTCCTAGGTGACCTTGGGCTGTTCCTTACTCTCTCTAGTTGCAATTTTCCCACCTGTTAAGTGAGGCCAAAAAAACAAACCAAACTCATGCCATCAAGTCAGTTCTGACTTACAGCGATGCTCATTGGGTTTCTGAGGTGGTAAAGGAGATTGCCTCATCTCTTCCTGCAGAGCAGCTGATGCGTTTGAACCTTAGGCACTACACCACCAGAGCTCCTTGTTAAATGAGGCAGTGGGACTAAATCAGTGTTTATCAAACCTCAGCCACTGCAGGACACCTTCCCAGCCTGCTCTTCCAGCGTCCGGTCACCACAATTATCTTCCTGATCTTTTTCTTTAAAGTATCTTTCTTTCTTTGTAACCTAGCCTTTTTTTTTAATTTTCAGTTTTTCACATACCCAGTAAAATAAATCTAAAATTGTTAAAAATGTCAAATGCTCATCTCATTCCCACTTGAAAAAAATCACCAGTTGCTGTCAAATCAGTTCTAGCTCACAGGGACCCCATGTGGTCAGAGCACAGCTGTACTCCTTAGGGTTTTCAGTGGCTAACTTTTCAGAAATAGACTGCCAGGTTTTTCTCAAGGTGCTTCTGGGTAGCCTGGAACCTCCAACCTTTTGGTTAGCAGCCAAGTGTGTTAACCATTTGCATATCCCAGGACTCCATTACCACTCAGCTAAAAACCCACTGCCATCCAGTTGATTTTGATTCATAGCAACCCCCATTGGGTTCCCAAGGCTGTAAATCTTTATAGAAGTAGCTTGCCTCATCTTCCTCCCACCAAGTGGCTGGTGGGTTTGAATCGCCAGCCTTCTGGTTAGCAGCCAGATGTCTTACCCACTACGCCACCAGAGCTCCATTACCACCTAAGTCCCCTCTTACCCCACCTTGTGAGGAAGCTGGCCTTCTCCATGTGTCCTTCCTGGAGGACAGTGGAGCTTTTCCTGGCTCAGCTTCATTTGGTTCCCCCTCCCCCCACCGCATCCACTTCCATGATGTCTGCCTTTCTCTCCACAGTCCCCCTGGTGCGGCACATGGAATCTCGGATCATGATCCCCTTGAAGATCTCGCCTCTTCAGTGATGCTGCCTCTGCCTCCTTTCCCTCCTCCCTCCGGGCAGCCACGGACAGAGGAACGCCTGGTCCTGAGTGATAGTTTCTTCTCAGATCTGGAGGGGTCCGGGGCTTGGCGCTCAGCTCAGGCAAAGAGGTGCTGAAGGACGACAGGGTCTGAGGATTTGCAGCTCTGCCCAGACTCTGCCCACCTTCCCCACCCTCCTCCTTCTCCTGTTGGAAAACAGTCTCTAGTTTCACTGACAGAAGAACTACGACCTTTCATGTCTTCCCACATCCCTCAGCTCAAGGCCCCCAGCCCCTAGTTACCACTATGGAAATCCCTAATTTCACTTTAGTTGCACGAAAGGTAGTATGCCCAGTGGTTAGAAGTGGGATGGGACGTGAGGTGGTTGGGACCAGGCCAGGCCCTCAGGAGCTCCCTGGCCTCCACCCATATGCTGGACAGAATGAGCCAGTCCAGGGGACAAGTCTGGAACTGCCAAAAACTCCCAGCCACAAGATCAGGAGGTGGTCAGGACATTCCACTGAGCCAAGCTGGGATGGGGGCTGGAGGAGATTTGGAGGCAAGAAACAGAACATGGAGCAGGGAACCAGAAGGCCGAGCTGGGTTTGAATCACAGAATTTTGAATCCAGAGTTAGGAAGATAGAGTAGAGGTGACTTCTGGACCACTTGGGGAAGGGTTCTCATACAAGACAGATGGGGAGAGGTTAATTTGTTTCTCTCCAAGTAGTGGGATTGAGAACTTGAATGTGTAGTTCTAGCCCTTCTGTGCAGGGACAGTGTCCTTCCTGCCTCCCCCAGCCGCCTTGCAGGTGAAGGGACAAAATGGGCCTGCCTTCCTCCCATCTGCTTCCCTTCTCCCCCACTTCACATTCCATTAGCCCAACCCTCATTCTACTGGGCCACTTGCTGTGGGGAGTGAAGTCAGTAACTGGGTTTCCTCTGTGATCCCCACACCTCACGAACCCCTTGGTAGCTTGATTCCACCTCTCTTCCAGAAAAAACTTGTGCTGGAGTTGCTGATGGAACCAATTAAATATTTACTGTAAACTTTTTTTGTTTGTTTGTTTTGTCAGCTGGAAGGCACAGTGGCAAAACCCCCGAAACTAGGTAGAGCTGACCAGCTTTCCAGTCCTGCCTGGTGCTTCTGCCCTCCTCTAGGGCTTTGTGTTTCTTGAGCTCAGGCAGGGCATCTTCACCCTCACCCAGGGTAGAAGGAACCATACAACTAGGGGTTTGGGTGTTTCTAGCCCTGGCCGGGGATTTACACCAAAAGGATTTACACCAAAAGTCCTGGACCCTGCCTGTACGGTTCGTGCCAGGGCTTGGAATCACTTGATGCAGTCAAATACTGCATTAGAGCTGTGTTAGATAAATCGACCTTAAAACGAGGGAACTAGTAATGCACTCCTGAAAAAATACAAGTGTAAAATGGGGTTAATGCCCTCATCGTGTGCCTTGGGGCCCTGAATATGACAGGCAACGTTTTGAAGACAAATCTACTAGGGACTAAATATTGGCACTACCACAGTCTTCTGTGATCTTCCGCTTAAAAGAACATTGATTTAACGCTTGTTGTTAGGTGCTGTCCAGTACGACCAGACTCAGCAACTCCTCCTTGGGTTTCCAAGGCGATATCATTACCTCCTTCCGAGGAGTGACTGGTGGATTTGAACCACCAGCCTTCTGCTTAGCAGTCAAGTGCCTTAGGCACTACACTAGCAGAGCTCTTGCTTTAACGCTTAGGAAGCGCCCATCAATTGCTTCTAGGCCCTGGGGAGAGGGCACGGAGCTCATACATTTCTCCCATTACGGACTTAGTTTCCTGGTCTCAGAGGGCAGCGATAAGGTGAGGAGGTGGTGACCAGCTGATACCCACCGCCACCTCCCGGGGAAAAGCCAGGTGTCAACTGTCTCCACTACTGGACCGCTCAGACACTTCCTGCACCGGGCGCCCATGGTCATTGGTGGCCTCCCCGCTTCGCTTCCGGCTTCCGCGCCTAGCTTTCGGCCGGTCCTTCCTTCCTTCCGCTTCTCTATGGTGCCCCACCGGAAGTGGCTTTTTAGCGGGGACGGGTTCGGAATGCTGTGAGGTGAGTAAGAAACCCGGTCGGCTGGGGTGGGCGCGTAGCTGGGTGTTCGCGAACGGACACGCGGATGCTCCGAAGGGCGCCCGGGGCCGGTGCGACTAGGCTCCTTCGCCCTCACTCCGCAGGAGGCACCCTACGCTTAGTCTCCTCATCTGTGAAATGTTCGCTGCAGGCTCCTCAGGGCCCACGTTGTAGCCTTGTGATGGGATGATGATAGTGTTAGTAGCTGTGGTCTTAGTGATGGTAATGACGGTAGCAGCTCGCTTTTACTGCGCGCCCATCAGTGCCGGGCGTTTTTTACCTGTGTTGTCAAAGTCAGGATTCCGCCTTTTGGGTCTCGCCTTTGTGGGTTTTGCAACGTACCATCTGTGTGACTGCTTGCGAACAAATTTTAATTGTCACTTTTTAAGTGTAAATTTCTTTTAACGGGAAACGAAGTTAGTTTAAATCAAAACTGCTATTACCTGTACGTAGGTGATAATGCCAAAGCTGTATTTAATATAAAAACAAAAAATTGTTAATAAGTTTTGACTAGATTCTATTGTCTATCGAAGGCTCTTGGAAACTCACTGCCATCCAGTTGATTCTGGCTCATAGTGACCTCTATTGGGTTTCCAAGTGCAAAAAC